TTTTTGCACCTGTCAAACATGAAATGCAAGTCTTCAAACTAAATATCATACAAGTGATTACTATCACAACTGGTTATTTTTTTTTTTTTTGCAATTTAACAGGTAACATACTTCTCTCATAGAAATCTAATCCTTCAAAAATGTTAACACAGATATTTCACCTCTTAGTGACTTCTTTCAAGCAAGAACTGTCTTATTTATAAATGTTTTATATTGTCAAGGAATTTATATGGATGGGGATGTTGCAGCTGGGATGATTATGTGATAATTATTATCCTATCCATGAGGAAGTGCTCAACCCATTAGACATCATACAGCACCTGGAGAATGGAAGGTAAACAGGTTTGAACCATGATGATGGAAGCTCAAATTCTTTGGATTTAGAACCCTTCACAATCAAGGTACCTTCCCTGCAGGGTCAAGGGTAAATTATTATATTTGTGCACCTCTTCAGTGGGATACAGCTGGTTTGTCGAAAGAAGAAGAAAGATTTGTGCACCTCTGGAAAAACAGCTAATGAATGAGTGATGGCAAAGGTGTTTGTTTATGTCTTTGAGCCACCTTGCTTTGGCAGAAAATGACTGATGTTAAAGAATCTGAGCAGCAACAAAAATATTGCTCACTTCTTCATGTGAGGCTTCAGTAGGAAGATTGGTGATAGATATATTTTAACCATATCGTACTGAAATAATATGAAGGCATCTATGACAGAATAATTATTGTACCAGTTTTCATGCATTATTGAGAGTCATTTCAGTGTGCCCCTCACTAAGCCTTCTAGATTATGTCTTAAATGCCACTTTAATGATGCTATTACTGTATCTATAATCCTGACTTCATTCCCAATTAAACTGATTGAACATTTGGGGTATATGATTATTTAATCATCACAGTATCACTAAAATTTTGTGCTAACTCAAATATCACTATCAAGTTATATATATATATATATGTTCACTCACAATTAATGACCTCTATGTGTGTATAAAATAACAAACTAAGTCAAAATAATTACAAGCCTTTATACAAAGCATCCAAATTACAAATGTTGCCCTTACACATACTGAGAAAATAAGAATTCTGGAATGATTAACCTCGCTTCATCAAAAAAGCACCACCTGTATCGGGTAACCACATAACAACGAATAGCTAACAAAAATAAGATACAATATTTATTGCAAGCAAAACATATTTTAGTACACAAATACTACTAACAACGTGTATGAATGGTGTCCCCCCCATATAATGCACAAAGAAAATATCACATCTAGACTAAAATTAAAAATATGTCAAGAATGTATAGCTAGATTTTGCTGAACTGTCTAAATGATTCTATAAAAGTGAAATATATGAAGTTTAAAATGTCTGGCATTGTCTAGTCAATAGTCCTGTATTTCCTTATAGATAATATAAAACTTTAGATTACAGAACACATTTAAAGGACCAGCAATTATTAGCTTCAACAGAATTTCACCTTGCCATATTTAAAGCAAAAGACATACTGTATACTGTCTTATAAAATATACAGCAGAGAAACATCACAGTAAAGATACAAAATTTCCAATTCTTGGACTAATAAGGATGTGCAAAATAATCTACAACATTCACAATTTATTTTTCCTAACAAAACATTAAACACCTCAAAAACAAGAATGAATATATAGTATGATGTGAAGAATTCCATTACCCACTTACAAGAAAGCAATAAATAACCATTAAGTACTAAGACACTGATATATAACCATTCACTGTATTAAAGTTGCAGATTTAATCATCACAATCAGTGAAGCTTATTAAGTCTTTGAGCCTTTAACAAAACTGTTTTCTTCAGAATATATCTATTTTCATTCCACAGAATGCAACTGGAGTACTGAGCAAACGACATATACTATGTAGATATTCAATGTATCTACCCTACTTCATTTCCCAATAAATATAGCCTTGCCAACTATCTTTTTTTTTAAAAAGTACCTACACTCCTCAAAAAAAAAAAAGTATGTCTGAGGAACACACAATACCTCTGAGATGCCATATTGTTATTAGTACATATAATAATAATAATAATAATAATAATAAAAGCAACCCCTTTTCTGTATAAATTATTAAATTCAAAAAGAGAAACTTTTGCTTTTCTTTTTAGGTCACCCTGCCTTGGTGGGATATGGCCAGCACGTTGAAAAAAAAAAAAAATTTTACATGCCAAAGCATTGTTCTTTTACACGCTTTGAACTTTAGACTGAAATAAGATTGATCCAACACCAAGAAATGGCTAAGGAAGGGCATAGCATTTCACAAAACACTAAACCCATGTGGGTTATTCAGTGCAAGGAGTGGTGGAGGACAAAGCCAATCATCATCATGGCAAGGACCTTTGCACTTGTGGGCTGACCCACTACAAAACTGCGGGAGACAGCATAAAGAGCATTAGCTTCACAGCTTCATAACACAGTGACTCTGAACCTCACAATAAACATTTACTAACCTTGAGGAATACCAGGCCTAAATTTGTTTCTCGATAGTGCTTAATTCAGCCTCTTAATGATGTGTGTGCTTTTCATGACAATTAGATTTAGAACTCTTTTAAATGTAAATATTAATGCAAAATTAAGTCAATCTTTATAAGTTCAAGAGATGTAACTTTTTACCTTGCACAATATGAATATAAACCTCTAATCGTCTATTTCTGCAAAAAAAAAAAAAAAAAAAAAAAAAAAAAAAAAAAAAAAAAAAAAAAAAAAAAGAGACATGTTATAGAAAATATGCTTTAGTCTATACCCGACTTATAATTGAAGGACAAATATTATCTATAAATTTGACAAAAATAAATAAATAAAACTCAGAAATAATAAATAAAAATGTATCGTGACTAGCCGAATACTGTATTTAATTATCTCAATGAGCAACACATCAATTTTGTCAAAACTGAAAACATAAATACTGTATCATTAACAAATGCAACAGTTCCTATCCTTTTATATGATAATTTTGATATACATACCTCTTTACTTACAACTGACATTCAGTGTCACTTAACTCACATACGGGACTACTGTGCTCCATATGGTAAGCATTCCAATGACATAGCTTTTCTAAACATTTACATTTCCCACTTTCATGATGTAGGAAGAAACAAATTAAAAAAGGCTGGAAAAGCCTTATAACTAAAGCAAATGATACTAGAAGTGACACCGAATAAGTCATATTATATTACTCACGTGGTAACATGAAAAACACACAGTACTGTGCTCCTAGGACTTGACACAACTAAATCATTATAAAAAATTCAGATCCGATAGCATTTTTTTTTTTGCTTTTCAGCATCACAGTTAAAAATAAGAGAGCATTATAATTACCATATATTACTGGACATAATGCAATCAGTGTAAGGGAGGTAAGTAAAGGGGATACTACTTTCACTCAAATAATAATCAGATTTTTGCAAAATCACATGTGTAAGACAGGTATATTTTCAGTCCTCAAAGTCAACACAATGTTACCATATCCTATGAGGTAACTGCTGGCAATGTTTAAATGTTATAAATTGTTTATTACCATGGGAATGATACTCCTAAAACAGATGGGACTATATTAGTTAGCTCTTGATTAGAGGTCAACACATACAGTGTTCTCACATTATCTGCACATTGAAGATAAAATAGTGTTTAAATACAAATTGTTTATCATCTTCGGAGTCACAGGTTCTGGTCATGTCCATATAAGAGGGACTCTGCTAATGGCTCTCACAATTCCATACTGGTAATTTAAACTTGAAATTCACATTAATACTGCAGACCTCCAATTACAATATACATTGCACTACCATTTATATACTCGGACATGTCATCAGCAGTAACACATAACCTGCTGGACTCGCTTGTTTTGAAAGAAGAGCTAGACAAGAGAAAATCAGTAGTTTACTGCCTGAGTGGTGTAACAAGTGTAGTAATTATATATCCTCTGCTCATCTTCATTTGCATAATCAGGGTTAAAATGAGAGGAAACTAGATTTAATATCAATAGTGTACCTACTATATGTAAATCAGTTTGGTTGTTAAACTTGTATTCTGCGATAAATAAGGAAGTGCCTGTGTGAGGCTAAGCTGTTGCTGTTGTAATGTTTACGTATGGGTACCTTTATCCCTCTGTTCCTCCTCCCTTCCATCCTTCCTCACTCACTTACCTTGTTTCTACCATCACTGAAAATGTGAGGGGGGGAAAAGATTCAGTAATATAGATACTTTACTATATATTTTACTTTTGTTTAAATTTTCACAAACCATCATTCGAAGTCTTAACATGCAGACAAAGAATGGATGGGGATTCAAATCTTGGTCCACATGAGTGGCATGGACTACAGTTCGAGTTCCATTCCATTCTTCTGTTTATTCAATAAGTCGTTTATTGCAACTTATCTTGGGTAGTCAATCTCACAGGAGTAAAAATAATAACATGTAGATGAGCTGAATACTTTTTTCATTATTTTGATTTTTTTACATCTTTGTGGATGGTTTGTGCTAATAAGAGGGGAAGGGGGGTATTATTCTGTATATATGTGATGAGTAAAAAAATTGCCTTTTGGCTAATAATATATGGTACAATTTATGCTGCTCTATTTTTTTAGTATTATTAATCTTTCCTAATATTAACTGCCTTTGGTATATAAAAATAACTGCCCTAATGCTATTACTGTAGTAAAAAACTTAATATGTTCAACATTTCAATATCTGCTTTTTACCACAATTTAAGATAAAATAATAACCAAACTCTTCGTCAAACATGATGCAGTCTCCAGTATCTTGATCATAACACTGGTCATGTCAGAATAAATCATGAAAAATATTTCATTAGAAAAGTTTATAAAGTACAGACTCAATATGGTAAGCACTTAATCTTACCAAATGCAAAACACAAAGAAATTCTCAGATGACAGAAGGAACACAGGCCTCTATATAAATTCAGTTACATTCTGAGCTACTAGAGTGTGATCCGCCTGAACCTACCCTCTTGGTGTTGAGGTGGAGGAGCTAGAACATCTTTTTGTGGATCTTGGCCATCAACATTACCAGGAATCATGGGTTCAATAACTGGACGATTCTTTACTGCTGGTTGTTCCACCACTGCTGGACCTAATGATAAGGAATTTTTTGCTTTAATATACTGTATATATGTATATGTTGGAGTGTTAGCAAGGTAACGCTTTTTGAAGGGATTCAGGTAAACCATTTAGCCAGCAAGACAGTGATAGAGTGAATGATGATGAAACTGTTTTTCGGTAGGAGAAGGCCGGTGTGTTAAAAAAAATTCTTAATATTTTTATGTAGTTTTGCTAATACAGTGGTACCTCGGGATACGAACAGCTCAAAACTCAAACAATTATGTAAGTGTATTTATGTAAATGCTTTTGTAAGTGTATTTTTGGGGGTCTGAAACGGATTAATCTAATTTACAATATTCCTTATGGGAACAAATTCGTTTGGTATCGGCACTCAAACAGCCTTTGGAACGAATTAAGTTCGTATCACGAGGTACCACTGTATTATTAACTGGTACTTCACTTGTTGTTCGTAACAAAGTTTGGAAGGTAAGACATTACAAGGATAATGAGAAAATTTTAGAGATCAAGAAATACAGTAAAAAAATTTTGAGTAACATTTTATATCTAAAAGGCTGATAGTACTAGCAGGAATGAGAGGTAAATTGGCAACAATAATACATTAAATATAAACACAGAGAGGTATCAAGATACAAATAGGGAATTGGCAAGTTAAATTAAATAACACAAATGTGCTAAGAGTATAGAATGCTGCCATACACTTGTGATGGAAAATAAATATTAAACTGTGAGCTGCATCATGAACAATTATTGTGAAATATGAGGAAAAATGTAACAAGATAACTGAATAAGAATGCAAGTAAAAACAAGGCAATACAGTTAGAAAAGAATTAATGTGAGATGTAGTAGGAAGTGCAGATTATATGGAGAATCAAGGGAGTAGTATTTGGGGAGTATTTAAAGCAAACAATAGCAGCATGAAGTATGTGTCATTAAGCAAGGTAGGAAGTCTCAAATTAAGAGAGGGAAAAAAGATCATGTATGGAAAAAATTCAAATTAGTATACGTACTAGAATTTAGTGAGAAGTGAAACTGCAGAAGTAAACTATCAGAGTGTAAACACTGGTAATGGGCCTTACAAGGAAACCATAATAGAAAAGAGCAACATCATGAGGTAAAAATAAAATAAAATAAAATACTGAATTAGCAACATGAGAGGTTTTGAAATAAATAGATAGTGATTAAGATTGAGGCTTGTAGAATTCCTTGAACTCTGGCTAATTGGAAGACCTCACAGGGGGACTCCTTTCTACAAATGAAGGGATCTTCCTTTGGACAGGTGATTGGCATAATGAATTGGTAAAAAATAATGTAAAATTCTGGTAAGCACAGTCCCACTTCAGTACAAGTCAGTGATTAACAGAATATTATCTTTTCTCAGGAAGACCAACTTGAATTCATAAACTTAGATAAAAAAATGCTGACAAAGTATAATTAAATATTATTTAATCTTCTTGTAATACAGAGTAATTCATGGCACAATTCTACAATTGAAAAAAGTTAAAAGTGAAAAATATAACTCAATAATGTTTTGATAAATTTGCATTACTTCTCACCTTGAACTGGTTTAACCCGAGGGTGCTGGAGGACCTGAGCCCGGGTGACCAGGCCATACCGGGGCTTGGCTAAACCATGGAACTCCGGTAGGGGGGCAGCACCATTGTATATTTTGGCTACCAATACAAAACAAGTGCACACTCATAACAAAAGCAAAACAAAGAACTTTCCTCTTCGATTTAGATCTGCCATTTATGTTAAACTAAAAAAAATGCATAGTACTTTATGTAATACAGGTACAATATTAACTTAAAAATTTGAACTTCTGTAAGCAGTTATCAGCATTTACTCTTTGGTAACCAATAACTAACAACCTTAAAATATTTTATAACATTTAATCATAATGCTATTATGGTAATTATAACTTTCGGAATAGATAGACAGATCTAAGCAAAGCAGGAAAATGGTACTTTTTTTAACTAAACAAATACAAGTGCCAATGAGAAAATCTGCAAGTATTGCACACTGGTTTTATTATACTTTTTGTCCTTTTACTGTCTGGAATTTAACTATGCTGGACATTTTAACATTTGCACTACAGTAAATACAAATGTATAAATAAAGGTAAAAATTCATGCTGTCTCCTAGAGGTTAGCAGGTCAGCATATCCCTGAGGCTACAACATGCCTGACTCACTAGCCATCTATTCCACAGAACAACATACTTTACAAAACAAAAATAAAAAGATCTATAATGCTCTTAAAGTGTTAAGAAATAAAGTACAAAATGTTAATAATAATGAGAAAAGAGTAAGAGAGCAATTAAAGATACTGTATATATGTATGTGAACATAACTAGGGTGAGTCTCCTAGCAGTTCCTATCTTTGTGATGGGCAAACATCTTGACTTGCAGACCCTTTGTACTGCAGTGGCTCTCAGTCTTACTTCCACAGTTCATAACGAGTACAAGTTTATCTGCGACAAAGTGGTAGCCAACCAATACAGGCTGCATGGTCTAAACTGTTCAAGTTCCAGAGGTTGGTATGCTAGACACAGTGAAATCAATGAGATCATCAAGAGCAGCCTTGCTACAGCTCTGTGCCCAGCTGAGACAGAACCTCATTTTTTATTACCCAGCACCCTGGATGTACCTGCTTGTCGCTCTGACAGGATCACATAATTATATACATATACATGTATCCTTTTTTTTTTTTTTTTACAGTGTTGAATTTATAAGCTTAGAGCTGTTATCCTACCTCAGCTCTTTTCAAAGCCTTGCCTTATCTTAGGTATACTACCACTTCCCACCACAGGATGTGACCTACAATACTCAGCTATTATGCAGGTACTCATTTACTACTAGGTAAACAAAGGCTATAGGTCTAAGGAAACATGCCTATAATCTTCACCCACCACTGGATTAAACCCAGGTCCTACTACTAAGCTTTGAGCCACCTATTGATAGGTAATCAAGAGGTATTTGGAAGCACCTATTATTGTTAGGAAACAATTCTATGGTGCTGGTTGTTATGGCAAGACTGTCTGTAATTAGCAAGTGTGAAAATGCAGTGAAAAAATTAGGACAAAAAAATAATGCTAGAATCTGTGAAAGGAAGAATGTATGCACAAAGAGATATGGCCTCTTAATTTTTTTTTGTCAGCAGCATTATAAAAAAAAAAAACATGCAGGTTATAAGTAACATACAATGAAACTTTTGTGAGAAAGCATGCATCATTACCCATGTAATGGAGAGAGAGGAAGAGAAACTACTTCCACATTAAAACTACAAAGACCAACCAAAAAGCATATCAAATACCTGCAATTCTAAAAACAAAACGAGCATTTGTTCAATATCATTTCTTACCTGGGGCTTGGATCTGAGGGTTTCCTTGGTCAACATGAAGGTTTACATCATTGGAGTTTCCATGGTTGATAGGCTGAGGGGCTACTAATGTATCCACTGCTGCATTATCATGACCGATGTTAGCACCATTTTGTGAGAGGGCTGGTTACAGGAAATGAAAAAAATTATTACTCTACTGCTATAAAGAATCTTCTAAAAAAATATATATAGTATATTTCCTTTCATTATTTTTTTTTTTATTATTATCACACTGGCCGATTCCCACCAAGGCAGGGTGGCCCGAAAAAGAAAAACTTTCACCGTCATTCACTCCATCACTGTCTTGCCAGAAGGGTGCTTTGCACTACAGTTTTTAAACTGCAACATTAACACCCCTCCTTCAGAGTGCAGGCACTGTACTTCCCATCTCCAGGACTCAAGTCCGGCCTGCCGGTTTCCCTGAACCCCTTCATAAATGTTACTTTGCTCACACTCCAACAGCACATCAAGTATTAAAAACCATTTGTCTCCATTCACTCCTATCAAACACGCTCACGCATGCCTGCTGGAAGTCCAAGCCCCTTGCACACAAAACCTCCTTTACCCCCTCTCTCCAACCTTTCCTAGGCTGACCCCTACCCCGCCTTCCTTCCACTACAGACTGATACACTCTTGAAGTCATTCTGTTTTGCTCCATTCTCTCTACATGTCCGAACCACCTCAACAACCCTTCCTCAGCCCTCTGGACAACAGTTTTGGTAATCCCGCACCTCCTCCTAATTTCCAAACTACGAATTCTCTGCATTATATTCACACCACACATTGCCCTCAGACATGACATCTCCACTGCCTCAAGCCTTCTCCTCGCTGCAACATTCATCACCCATGCTTCACACCCATATAAGAGCGTTGGTAAAACTTTCATTAAAACTCAGTTTATCTGTACAGGGGGGGGCCCAGGTTACAATGATCTGCATTTATAAATGAAGTGCAAGAGACAATACATAAGAAAGAAGGAGCACTGCAGCAGGCCTACTGGCCCATGCAAGGCAGGTCCAAGTCTCCTACTGGCCTAAGCCAATGCCCCAACCCAGTCAGGTCGGGTCACATTCACTTAAGGAAGGAGCATGGCATCTGACCTAGTAGCACAAGCTAGTAAGGCCCAACTCACACCCAACCACACCCACTCATACATTTATCTAACCTATCTTTAAAACTACACAACATTTTAGCCCCTGTAACTGTACTTGGGAGCTTGTTCCACTCATTCACAACTCTATTACCAAACCAGTGCTTTCCTATATCCTTCCTGAATCTGAATTTTTCCAACTTAAAGCCAATTCTGCGAGTCCTGTCTAGGCTAGATATTTTTAGCATGCTATTTACATCCCCTTTATTTATTCCTGTCTTCCATTTATACACCTCAATCATATCCCCCCCTAACTCTACACTTTTCTAGAGTGCAGATTCAGGGCCCTCAGTCTACCCTCATAGGAAAGATTTCTGATACAGTGGACTCCCGGTATTCGATGGCATCGGTATTCGATAAATCCGGTATTCGATGCATTATATCGCAAAAAATTTTCCTCGGTATTCGATTGAAAACCAGGTATTCGATACGATTCGTACGAGACCTGTCCACATGTGGCCTGAACTGCCCCTTGTGTGCCAGTGTTTACAAGACAGCCAGTGTGCGCGCATCTAAGCATACATTTGGTACATTCCATATTATCACTGTGTTTGGTGCTTCTTTCTGCAAAATAAGTCACCATGGGCCCCAAGAAAGCTTCTAGTGCCAACCCTGTGGTAAAAAGGGTGAGAATTAGTATGGAAATTCAGAAAGATTTTGAAGGGCTTGGGGCTAACCCTGAGAAGCCTATACCAGTTGTGGAATACATTGTGCCTACTTCAAAAATTAAGGAAATGTGTGCACAGTGGGTTGAAGTGCAAACCTTTACGGATGAAAATCACCCTAACACAGCTATTACAATGACAATGTTGTGGCCCATTTTAGACAAATCGTAAAGGAACGGGAGGTACAGAGCTCTATGGACAGATTTGTTGTGCGACAGAGGTCCAGTGACTCTCAAGCTGGTCCTAGTGACATTAAAAGAAGAAGGGAAGTAACCCTGGAAAAGGACTTGCTACCTCAAGTCCTAATGGAAGGGGATTCCCCTTCTAAACACTAACACCTCTCCCCTCCTTCCATCTCATCAATCATCACCAGATCTTCATTAATGGTAAGTGTCAATTATTTTATTGTTATTGTAATTATTCTATTGCATTAAACTTAATATTTCATGTAGTAAAATTTTTTTTTCATACTTTTGGGTGTCTTGCACGGATTAATTTGATTTTCATTATTTCTTATGAGGAAAATTGATTCGGTTTTCGATATTATCGGTATTCGATGAGCTCTCAGGAACGGATTAATATCGAATACCGGGGGTCCACTGTACATGGGATCAACTCCGTCATCCTCCTTTGTATGTTTTCCAGAGCATTTATATTCATTTTGTAATACGGTGACCAAAACTGTGCAGCATAATCTAGATGAGGCCTAACCAAGGATATATAGAGTTGAAGAACCTGAGGACTCCTATTATTTATGCTTCTCAATATGAAGCCAAGGATTCTGTTCGCTTTATTGTGAACACTTATGCACTGTTGTCTTGGTTTTAGATTACTGCTAACCAGAACTCCCAAATCCTCTTTGCAATCTGTAATATTAAGACCTACATTATTTAGTTTATATGTGGCATGGTTATTTATCTGTCCAATGTTTAGAACTTTGCATTTGTCTATATTAAACTGTATCTGCCACTTCTCTGACCACTGCATCAGTCTATTCAAATCTTCCTGGGGTGCTCTAATGTCCTCATCAGAATGAATTCGAGGCCTATTTTGGTGTCATCAGCTAACTTGCTAATGTCACTATTTATTCCCTCATCTATGTCGTTTATGTAGATTGTGAACAACAAGGGGCCCAACACTGACCCCTGTGGAACACCACTAGTGACACTTCCCCACTCTGATTTCTCCCCATTTATGCAAACTCTCTGCTGCCTATTTGTCAACCATGCCTTTATCCAGTAAAAAAATTCTCCTCCTATTATCTGTGCCTTAATTCTCCTCAATAGTCTCTGATGTGGGACTCTATCAAAAGCCTTACTGAAGTCCATATACACTATCATATTACCATGATCTACCGCCCACCGGGTCGCCATACGGAGAAGACCTGCGCCGGAAGTACCGGCGAACCAACTCGAATCGAATCAACCATGATCTACCTCCTCAAATACCTTAGTGAAAAAAGTTAATAAATTCATAAGGCAGGAACGTCCTTTTGTAAAACCATGGTGAGATTCGTTGATTAATTTATGCTTTTCAAGATGGCTATGAATTGCCTCGGCAATTATTGATTCCATAAATTTCCCCACTATGGAGTTTAGGCTTACTGGTCTATAGTTCGAAGCTAAGGACCTGTCACCTGCTTTACAAATAGGTATCACATTTGCCATTTTCCACTTATCTGGCACCATGCCAGTTTGTAGTGATATGTTGAAAAGATCAGCCAAAGGTGCGCTAAGCTCCTCTTTACATTCCTTTAGAACCCTTGCATACAGTTCATCAGGGCCTGGGGATTTGTTAGGTTTTAATTTATCTATTTGTCTATGGACCATGTCACTTGTGACCCTAATCGTGCATAGTTTACTATCGTCCTGTTCTACATAATTTATTATTTCTGGAATATCACTGGTATCTTCCTGGGTAAAAACTGAGAGAAAGTAAGTGTTAAAAATTCTACACATTTCCTTATCACTGTCAGCAAGCTGACCCAAGTGACTTTTGAGTGGGCCCATCTTGTCTCTAATCTTACTTCTGTATAACTGAAAGAGTCCTTTTGGGTTAGTCTTCAATTCTCTTGCAACATTAACCTCATAATCTCTTTTTGCTTTTCTTATTCCCTTTTTTATTTCTCTCTTTAACTGAATATACTGATTTCTTAATTGCCCCTCTCCTCTTTTGACTTGCCTATTTATGCCTCTCTTTTGAACAATGAGATATTTTAATCTATTGTTCATACATTTAGGATCATTTTTGTTTGATCTGATTTCCCTACTTGGAACATAAGTTGTCTGAGCAGCTAGAACTATGCTCTGGAAAACGTCATATCGGCAATCATCACCACCTACCTGACCCATAATCAGGTCATTCCAGTTCAGCCCACCCAGGTAATTTTCAGTCTTATGAAATCAGCCAAACGGAAGTCAAGGACAGAGACTTGATTGTCATTATTAAGGTAATTCCATGATATATTAAAACTGAGTGATTTGTGATCACTTTCCCCAAGCTCATCATTAACCTCAAGATTATTAATTAGCAATTCCCTGCTGGCAAGAACCAAGTCAAGAAGGTTATTTCCTCTAGTTGGTTCTGTTACAAACTGTTTTAAAAAACAATCCTGAATCATATCAAGAAAGTCACTTGACTCTAAATTTCCTGTCAAACTGCTCCAGTCAATTTGACTAAAGTTGAAATCTCTCATTAGTACAACATTTTTGTATGTAGATGCCTTACGAATTTCTTCCCATAGAAGTTTACTGCACTCCATATCAAGATTTGGGGGCCTGTAAATCACACCCAAGATTAGTTTTTCATGGCCCTCGAGAAGCTGTAACCAAACAGATTCAGTAGCTGACGCTTCTAATTTTATATCTAGTCTAATACAACAATTTAAATTGTCCCTGACATACATCACTACTCCACCACCCTTCCAGATTGAGCCAGGTCTCTGTTACAGCAATAATATCTATGTTTCCTGCACTTGCAATTAATCTTAGCTCATCTATCTTATTTATTACACTCCTGCTATTAGTATAGCAAACCTTAAGGGAGCTAGTCTCTTGCTGCCCTTGCTGCAACTTCAGATGGTGATAAAGAACAAGGGTAACATGACCAAGTACTAGCTGGAAGCTAATAAGTGAAAAATAAAATACATGTACACACAGTAGGTTACATTTTTTTGTTTTTTGTCCAAAAATTGTTAATGCATAGATTTTTTTTGTGGCCACTGTACAGTGAGGAACAGGTGTGACAATTATTCTATATACTATTATTTTGTATAAGATAATGGTTCAAGGTCACATACAACTTATTTG